TTTACAAAATTCTCAGTTCATCAGGGCAATTAAATAAACTCTAAGCAGGCATGCTCAAATCAATAAAAAGAATAATAATTTTATTTCAAATCAGTCATGCTCATATTTGTGTAAAACGGGTTTAGTCCCGCCACCATTTCAAAAACAAGTTAAAATATGCTTTAAAATCGAAGGGCGTTACCATAATTTACTTACCTCAAATCCAGAACTCAAGCCAAGTACTCGGGTGATAGAACACTCAATAACCTAATCAAAATACCCCAGAATTAATACCATACTATCACAAATTCAAAGTGAAAACTTCATTAGAATCACCCCTAATCACGATGCTATTTCTATTAGTCTCCACATGACCAGACATCTCCAAATTTGTTCTTATATTACAAACTAAACATTTAATCCCCGTTAATTGTTGGCCATTAGTGCATGAACAGTACCCGTAAACAGTGACTGCAATGTCCAAAATTGGCAAAACAATAGCTAATCACAGGGTTTTCTCCAAAAATCACAGCAGTCAAAATAAGCTAATTTTCTACATAAATTAAGCTGTATCATGGTCTAATTACTGTCAAATTTCTCCCCTATTTAATCCAGAATTTCGGACAGCACAAGTAGCAATTTATGGACAAAATTCAGCAAATAATTGATGAAATTTTGGGCTTGGAGGAGCTGTCAACATACCAGAATTTTCCCAGCAAAAATCGGACTGCAATTTGGGGGAAGGTCGGCGGCAAGTGCAGGGGAAGCTCATGGGGCTACCAAAAATGGAGAACCAAAAGCACAAATTAGAGTAACCCAAGTTAATTTAAGGCTAAAAGGAAGAGACCCATGGCTGTAGCTTACCGAAAAATGCCCAAAAATCACACAACCACATAGCAGCCGGCGAACAGGGGAGGAAGAGAAACTGCAGATCTGAAATATTTATGGCTTTAAAGGGATTTCTAGGTCCTAAATCTGGTGATTGAACAAGAAAAGAAGAGAAATTTCAAGCCTTTCATTACCAATTTTCCAAGTGGGGCTGTCGGCTTGGCTGGGTTCTTTTTGTTCGGTGCAGAGAAGGAAAAAGAAGAGCAGGTGCGCGGGTGAGGAAGAAGAAAGAAGAAAAAAAATGCCAGCCGATCCTTATCCAAAATTGTCCTCTTTTAAGTCCCTCAAGTTTGGATATTTTAGCTAATAAGCCCCAAAATGATATTTTCTCACACAAAGGTCCTTAACTTAAATGCTAGAATTTCAGAAAATTTGGGATATTACAGTGCAAGTTCACAATTCTAGGATATGGAAAGTGAATGTCTTGAATTTTTTTAACCTATCCTTTTTTTATTCCCTTCATGGTGCTTGATTGTGTGTAACTCCAAAGTATGTTGCTCTTATTTTATTTTCAGCTGCCTACTTACAAAAAAGAAAGAAAGAAAAAAAAAGCATTAAATGAGGAGTCAAAATGCTTGAACTAATCTATGGCTTTTCTCCTACTAATTTATGATTTAGATAAAACCATGCACATATTTTTCTGTAGGTAAAAACCCTTTATAATGGTTTTGATTTCCTCTGACCTTCAATTCAAATTTTATACTTCTCTTCTCGCTATTTTGCCTATTGACATAAGATTAGCTCTTTCTATGCTTTTTAACTCTTAGAATCACACCAAATTTAGGTGGGATTTAGTTTATATCTATTAATTTGCCTTTGGAAAGCTACAATCCTCTTGATTTTGCTCAGAATTTTACAATTAGTGTATGCACTGATTTTGTTTCCGAGTGCATTTAGTGCCTTTGTGTGTGGGTGTTTGTGGATAATCAGGTACTTTTGTGATAATCACACACATAACAGGCTATTGAATACACCAAAATTGATCGTTCTGATTGGGTTTTGTTTCTAAAGAACTCTCTTTTTATTTCCCCTATCTTAAATTTCCTTGCTTTAAAAGCCATTTTATCTTATGAAGTTTATTGAGTTTTGCAGGTTCAGGAATCCCTGCTTCGCAAAATTGAGCCATTATTTTACTCGTAGCTTATAATAATGGGATTTGTTTACAGAAGGTGGGATGCATGCCAGAGAAACTTTAAGCTCTAAGACGGAAGACAAGGAAGGAGCCGGCAGCAACCATGTATTTCTTTTGTACCTGTTGAAGGTTATCTATCTTGTATTTTATGTCTTAGGCTAGTAGCAGTTGCAACAATGGTTTCTTGTGCTTTATCTAGTTAGTTTGTTCCTAGGCTTCTATCATGTTTTGTTTGGACCATGTCATTTTATGTTCTGCTCTGTTTTCTGTTTAACTTGGTTTGAAGAATTGCTATTTGAGTATTTCGGCTTGTAAGAATGGATCTCAATTTATGTCACCATTGCAATGATTGTTATGGCGTAGCGTGTTTGAGAATAATGGTTTGCAGGTGGCGTATTACCAAGAATCTTTGGTTTTTTTTTTTTTTTAATAAATGACTAAAATGATAAAAACACAACTCCTAATTTAAATAAAGAAAGGATTACATGTTACAACGTGATTGAGTCAGTAGCAGCAAATATGGTTTGAATTGGAGGAAGAAAATAAAACACAAAGTGATTTGATTTTCCTCTCTAAATAAAGGAAGATTTAATCAATTTTTTCATTTTGCTGATATTAAAAAAAAAAGCCAATTCTTCTTCATTTAGGCTTTATTTTGAATTGTTGTATTTTTAAATGATATTAAAATTAATTAAGAATAATGAATTTGTATTTTTAAATGAAATATTATGTGATTTAAATATAGTATGCTTTATTTTTTAATATTAAAATATAAAAATTTATTTATCTATTAATATGAAATTATTAATTACTAACAAATATATTTTATAAACATAAAAATTTCATTTATAATTATCAACTTTAACATAATTAAATTAAAAAGGAATAAAAACTCTATAAAAAAGTTTTTTAAAAAAAGGAGAGAAACAAAGTTTTTTTTAAAAAAAAGTTCTTTTAAGTCATTTCAAGATTAAAAGATTTTTTTATAAAAAAGTTTACTAAACAACTTTTCACTCTGCAAGTATTTTTATAAAAAATTTTATCAAACATTTTTAACTTTTCAAAAATAACACTTTTACAACAAATTCTCTTTAACAGAATTTCTGTTAAAGGCTCCATCTACACCAAATGGGTCCTTTATATCTTTGTTTTGTTTAGCGTAGTTATTCTCATATTATTTTAATCATAATTTTAACAAAGTAATTTAAATGATCATTCCATATGTTGGAAAATTGGGGAATTTGTCCAAAAAACAATCCATCACCAATATGATGTAACTGATCAGGAAACCAATGTCTAACACGTCGGTGATATCCAGATATTTAAACTCTAAAAGCATATTCAATTGCTAATGTTGTAGTTGGAAAATTAGCAAACAACAATACACTACATCTCAGTAACTACAAACATATAACCTAAAATATACTTACCACCAACTTTTTCTAATTGAGCAATGTAAACTACGTTGATGATTTTACTCAAAAAACTTACAATTTTAAGGCCACCAATTTTTTTTTTTTGTGTTTTGTCTGTATCGTTGTGTGCAGGCCATGTCAGTGATTTGGGTGAAATATTTGAAAGTAATTTTGGCTGTCGTTTTTAGTTAAGTAGCATCGCAAGTCACGTTGGTAATTACTACTTGGCTTTTATCGACTCACTAGACGGTGACAAACCTCATATTTTACTTTGCCGCTTAATTACTAACAAATGGCTAGTTATTTTGTAAATAATAAAAAACTTCGGGATAAATTATTTTGTAAAGTATGAATTACCTTAGTTTATAGTTGTTAGATTTTACTTTTTTGATGAATTTTATGCATTTGTTTTTTTTTTCTTGTAATTGTTATATTATTTAAGTTTCATTATACACTACTACAAGGAAGCCATATTCAGACCAAAAATTTGATCCGTATAATTTAAAAATCGATCTGAAAAAGTATATCCAAACCGATCTCGGTTCGCATAGTTGAATCGAAAAAACCTAGTATGCAAAAATAAAATATACAGACCGATAAAAAATCAATCCATAAATTAACATATTCACACTGAAACCGAACTGTATAATTTGGTAAAAAAAATCAAGGGTGAATATAAAACTGAAATTTACGGATTGTTATCGGTCTGAACATAAAAAATATAATAAATAATTTAATAATTACAGATCGTAAACGATCTGAATAATCAAGAAAATATCTACAGAAAATATATTCAAATTGGTATCGGTCTGAATATATTGGACTCAAATGTAAATTGTGAAATATTTGCTGCCCTATTATTGTGCCATTGCAAGTCTATCCAGATCATTTTCAATCTGTATAAAAAGGACTCAGATGAAAATTGTGAAATATCTACTGCCCTATTGTCGTGGCATTGAAACTATATCCAGACTGTTTTCGGTATGTACAAAAAGGACTCAGTTGTAAATTCTGAAATATTTATTGCCTTATTGTTGTGCCATAGAAATTATATATAAACCGCTATCGATTCATATAAAATGGACTCAGATGTAAATTCTGAAATATTTGCTGCCCTATTGTCGTGCCATAAAAATTATATACGAACTGCTATCGGTCCGTATAAAATGGACTAAGATGTAAATTCTAAAATATTTACTGTCCTATTGTCGTGCCATAGAAATTATATACAGACAGTTTTCGATCCGAATTTAAAGTGAAACAAATAAAATAAAAAGCTATAAAAGAAGATTATCATTAAATAAAATTAAATATATTTATTTTTCTTATTTTTTACATAATATTCTAAAATGGAAATTAAATATTACTAATTAAATATTAAATATATCTATGAAATTTAAATATATGTATATATTGATAAATTAATTTTATAGTAATTATTTATTATAGTAACTTTAAACATAGATAATATTAAT